CGGGCTCGCGCACTTACGATTTGCTGCGCGTGGCGTTGGCTAAAAATAATGACGCCATCGACCGGAAGTGAAATTGCACGTCCTTAGCAACGCGCGAGATCACGCGAAAGATAGGTCACTGGGCCCTTAATTGCGAGCGGGCGGAATCCTCCAAATCCTCCAATCCGATTGGTTTAGAGGGCGGGCGGTTTTTTACGATCTTGCCCGCTGGGCGGGAATCGTTGACAGCTTCATTCACAAGTTTGTTTGTTGTTTGTGAATGGACAAAACCTGTGAAACTTAAACCATTTTTCTTCCAAAACTTGCGCTATTATCAGCGTTAGCTACTGGGAAAAGTGAACTATTATTAGCATTAGCAAGGGAAAAGTGAATTTTATAATTCAGACAAAAAATCTGAAAGGAAAATCAAGCAAGTCAGCTAGGAAGACCGCTAAAGTAAGCAAAACAGGCGGCTCGCGATGTCGCTTCACTAGCTTTAACCCACGCTTATGCACCGTTTTTTTTACTTTTCAAGGTAGTTTTGTTTTCCATTTTTGCTGTCTGAATCTAGATTCTGCCGTTTTTCATTGAATTTTCCCTCGCCAGTTTTCTACTTTTCAGAAAAGGTTGTTGTTAGCCTGCGTAGCTGGCGGTATTGTGTGGGTGCGAGATTAAAGTTTTGGCGGCGGAGCCGTGTTCCAAAAAAAGGGAGTAGGGACGAGGCGATTTCTCGCGGCTTCGCCGCTCGTGACGGCTCGGCCGTCAAATCTTACTCGACTATATTACAACGGCTCCGCCGCCAAATCTCACTCGACTACTGCACAATACCGCCAGCGACGCAGGCTAGGTTGTTGCCAATGATTGCATTTAGCTTTCAACCTTGAATAAAAAACACGAATCACTTTTCCAGCAGTCGGTTATCGCCGTTTTCTTTCCTTTGTTTATATACTTGTTACCCGCATAGCCTTCTTTTATTCGAATTAAATTCAAAACCTTAAGGTTGGTATGTTTAATTAGCTCTTTTCATGAAGCCTTTGAGCAGTTTTCATCCCGCTCGATTGAACTAATCTTAAAGTAAATTATTCAGCCGAAGAAAGTCTTTGCTCTATTTTTTTCCTGTGGCATTTAATATCAAGTTCGTCGATTCCTTTATCCTTGTTTGACACTCACATTATGAATTGTCTATTAAGAGACAAAAGCCTTTCTTTATTTTAAAATTATAGAGACCTTAATTGTGATAAAAAAAATATAAATTACAAGATAAAAATCATGTTGTAACTGATGTTTTGTTTTGGTTTGCAATCGATCGTGCGCTTCATCAACGCGAACGCGGCCTACTTTAACACAGCTAGGTTGGAGGCTGAAGTACAATTTTCCTGAAACTTTTAAATCTCAGAAGGAAAAAAATAAAAATGTTATTCACCGGCCTAGATCGGTACGTATTGGGAGAAACCGTGCCCTCTGTCTAAGTACCGCCCGAGGCCCGCCGTTGGCCGAGGGCGGTACTCAAGACCTCGGGCACAGTTTCTCCCAAAACGGACCTCCCAGCCAGTAAATAACATATATTTATTATTTATTTATTATATTTGCACTAAATAAACCGATGACGAGTGACTCCGCCACTTTCGTAAGATATCCCCCTCTACTAAAGGCAGAAAAATCATTGTAGTTATTAGTTCTCGCAGCAAGTGCTGAGTAGTAAACCGAGTGTTTTTTGTTAGCTCAGTGGTCCAAGAGAGCAATGAATTCAGAGGTGAAACTCAAAATTAAATTAACCAAAAAATAAAAAACAAATGGTGCAAAGGTTAGAAGAGGTCAGGACTAGTACACGGTGCATTCTTGTCTGTTCAGAGACCTCTCGTTTTTTTCTTTATAGAGATCGTCGAGCGCCTGTATGAAAACATTAACGTTGAGTAGGCCTTTCCCGATTGTGCTCAGCAACTTTTGAGCAACTTTCGGCGTTTGGAGCAACTTTTTGCGGTTCTAGCAACCTCGAGCAAATTTTGCCTTTCTGAGCAACTTTTGAGCAAAATATAGGTTTAGAGCACATATCAGTTCAAGCACGAAAAAGTCAACGATTTCATAAAAAACTTCAATTTTTTAAAAAATTGTTTTAATTTTAATTTTTTTTTTCTTGACCGATGTTAGTAATTATTGTGAAGAAAGAAAAATAGCTTTCAAGTAACGTTTATATAAAAAAATGTCAAGAAATTTAGTTGCCGACTTTTGAAATTTAGGTACGTGCTTAAAACATTGTTCGAGTTATTGAGGGTAGAATGAGGGTAAAGTACGTTACAGTAAATGTAATATGTAGATTTAGCCAGGGCTAAAAGCGAAGCTCTGGTTAATAATACGTGTAAATAAGAAAATATTAAATCGTGTAATGCTAAACGGGGACGACAATGAAAATCAGTGACTTCAAGACTACTAGATCCAATTAGCAAAAAAACAAATTGCACGTGCAGCACACTTTTTCTTCTAATAAGCAAAAAACAAATTTTCACGTGCATCACGCTTTTTTGTCTTTCCCTTGCCGTTGTTTTAATTACGACTACGCCGCTGTTCTAAAACGTCAAACTTCCTACTGACACATTATTTTTATGGAGGAATTGTCGTATGTGCTTACCCAATATTTTGTTTCCTGTGTTCATGTTCGCTTTTATTTTTCACTGCCGTGTGTGGTGTCATTTTCACCTTCCTGGTTTCTAGCATTTCTTATTTTCTCACCGCCGCTTTGAATTTCCATGTTTTTCGCCTACGAAATTCGTCTCCTTTGTTTTCGATAACTCGCTTTAGCTCTTTCTCTGTTATCCACGTTAGTGCAAACATNTGTGATTTCCTTCCAAATAAAACCTTGAGTTGCATTTGGGTTGCCATACCTGTTGATTGAGTTATTTCACATTGGTATGCCTGTGGTGCGGACGGACGGTCGGGCGGGCGGGTGGGGGTACGGTCACGTGATTACCAAATTTTCTCGGATGGGTAGATTACCATATTTCCTTAGCTATGGGGCTCCGCGCGTGGAGCACCGCTATGGAGGAAATCCAGGGGAAATCTACTTTGGTTCGAGTTAGCGAGGGTCGAGTTATCGAGAGTCATGGCGCTCCCCTAGACACCTTTATTCAACCTTTATTCAAAAATTTGTAGTCCTGCAAGGGGGTTACTATCACGCAAGACGCGATATTCTCTGTCCAGTTAAGAAATTCTATTTTTTTAAGGTTAAAGAAACAACGTTTAAGACTCAAAAAAGGGAAATATTACGGTTTGTTCACAATGTAATTTATGGAGTCAAAACTCTTCTTCTAAACTCGTTAACACGAGTGCAAAAACTTTCGGCTTCAACTTTCAAACTAAATCGTGGTTAACATTGAAAAAGAAAAAAACAACCTTTGAGTGAAATCCTTAGAAAACACTGGGAATTAAGGCCAACAAAAACATGGCGCCAAAGAATGCCCTTGGCCCCAGTTTTTTCACTCCACCGGTGTCCGGTGTGGTATCCGGTGTGGTATCCGGTGTGGTGCAGGTCAGCGAACATGAAGTAAGAAAGCCCGTCTGGTTCAGGAGCTTGCACGCTGAAAAAGAAGGATAGGAGTTATTCTGCTGAAATAAAGGAGGTGACTCCTATGTGGGAAGTATGAGGATCCTCCTCGGAAAATTAGAATTTACAGTCAAGAAATACAATAGCCTGATATCATGCCCTCTCCCTTTGTCTCTTTAATCTGTTTTCGGGAGGAGGGCATGATACAATGCTCTCACAGATCACATGCAAAAAGGCCAGAATCTGGACTTTTTTCTGATTGGATAGGAATCAATACGGATGATTTGCGCTGTTCCGATTGGCCAAAATGCCGCCATCCGTTAGTTGTTGTTGATTTCAGTCTGCATTTTTCCTTGCGTCACGAGCAGTGAATACACACGCGAGGTCGTTATTAAATTTCTGCCGGCTCAGTTTTCTTGAATTTGAAGACTGCCTAAATAGAATTTCATCCATTAAAATATTTTTTACAACTCATCGTAAACTAAAAAGTTGCAGTCAAAAATTCACCGATCATTTGAATTCAATTTGATACCGGCTACAAGTTACAGAAGCGACAAACGGTTTACTTTTCAAATAATCCATTCATGAAGTTAATCTGTCCCGGTTTCACTGGCGGGTTGACTGTAATTCCTCCTTTAGAAACCTGCGAATTATTCTGAGCGAACTTCGCTTTCACAACACTTTTCAGTTCGTGAAATATCATAATGATGCTTCAGCCTAAGTACAAACTGTACCAATACGATATTTACCCGCTACAGAAAAAGACACAGCAACGAACAAATAACCGTACATTTTATAAGTACAAAAAGTCTGAAAGAGATTTTCTTGTTACAGAAATAGGTAAAATCCCATACCGTCTGAGAAATGCGGCCTGTCGCCCATTGCATGTTTTACTTCAAACATTTTCTTGCTCGTACGCCCCTTGTATTTTTTCACAGATATCACTAAGCGAAGGGACAAGAATACCAAGATTTGCCAGCTTATCGGTCTGGTCTTTGATACTATTAACAAGCGACGAAACCCGACAACAACAACATGGTCAGTAGCTTCAAAAATGGAGGCGAAAACAAACGGTAAAACTTACTGCGCTTTTCACAAACATGCGAACTCCAAAGTTCAAACGCCGACTTCACAATTGCGTTTTTCGCTGGCGTCAATCATAATTACGATCACAAGCAACGAACCTAGCAACACAGAAACACGCAAAACGGATCGAAATCCACCAATCACAAATCACAATCCATGACCTTTTGAACCCGTTAAAGTAAAGTTTTGTTTCCTAAGAGGTCCGTTAAGATGATTGACGGCAGCGAAAAACTCAGTCGTCAATCGGCTTTTGAACTTCAGAATCCGCATTGTTCGTACCGTTGAAGTCGCTGGCTGAGTCACACAGAACGTTGTTGGAACAGTTCTTTAGTTCGATGTTCAGAGTATGGTCAAGATACGTCATTTTCCCTTTCAAGCTCATACACAGATCTAATCCATCCGAGCAGTTAACTTTGGGGACTTTGCCACTGTCGCATTTGCCTGCTCCTAATTCGGGGACATTGGTACACATTGGACACTCAATACCAGACACTGGAAATAAATAAAATTAAAGACCGTGGATCATTATTCTTTGGCAGTCGTGAAAGAAGGACCTTTGATTTTTATAGTGTGTTAGCTCGGAGATAAAATACAAGAAAAGGAAAAAGGAAAAAGATCCGTTGCTTATGTATCTAATGTAAGGTGTGTACTTCCTGGTCTTTGGGAAAAGTGGGGACTGGGATGATAGTGTTTTTGAAGGTAGCACAACAATGATGTCCATTCATTACCATTCATTCATTACCAAGGAGTAGATCTTTATCAGGGCGAAAATTTCAGTCAATAAAATTAATGTTAAATATGACCAAGAAATATTTCAATTTCTGGCATATTCATTACGGATTTTTGTATCGAGTAGAACATTCATTTAGGCTAACTAAAATAGCGTTTTGTCGAAGTATAAATTGAGCACAGGGTGCTCCGTAACCGTAAATTCTGGGGCAATGTTCATACTATAACGCTGCGGATAGCTTTTGCGCTGGCATAAAAACAATGCCATATAGGGCCTTTGAGGATTCCATTTTCTAGGGTTAATCGGCCCAGTAGTGTTTTGAGACTGACTAAGTTGTATATCCCTCGAGTAATTTTTTCGAGGGGGCGGGGGAGATTAACTTCGGGCTTGTGACGTCCAGAAGACCACCCCAGGGCCTTGGGTGTATTTGATTTTGTACAGCATGCCCAACCCAAGCCTCGTTTGCTTGGCCGCGCGGTGATCTGTGAAATACATCAAGGTAGCGGCCTTGTTTGGAT